TGCAGAGCTTGTTGTAGAGAGACGCCGTTGTAGTTTCTCAGCAGTAGAAGAAAAAGTTGCAAGCGTTTCCTGTAACATTAGCTGTGATCATGCAGCTTTGTGTCAGCTTCCAGTGTAGCTCTTCATTGGTGAGAACAACTGTCAAATTTTGTGTTCTTTCGTGTTTTTAATTTTTCATGGAATATTCATCCTGAAAGAGTCTTAAAGATTAAGGTCCAGTGCTGTGTTGATCCAGCATACTGATCCCAGCTTGTTTTTTGAGAACAGTGCTTTTAAGCTCAATAGGGAAGAAATTAGTATCTTAACCTGGATAGTTTTAGAAGGACAGATGTAAAGGATATTCATTCACACTTCTGTGTCTTGCTTCTCACTTTTAGTCCCATCATTAAACAAGTCCTGTCTGGTGAAATCAGTGAGTATATTTAGGGTCAGCAAAAAGTAGTTAGGAATCTTACATTCACAGTTTTAGCTCGTCAGAGCAATTAAAAAAATTTTTTTGACTTTATTTTTTGAGAGAGATTGAGAGAATCCCAAGCAGGCTGCACACTGTCAGCACAGAACCTGATGTGGGGCTTGAACTCACGGACCGTGAGACCATGACCTGAGCTGAAACTAACTGAGCCACCCAGGTGCCCCTCATCAAAGCAGTTTTATATCCTCCCCCCCCCCCCTTTTTTAATTTGTTCCCAACAGTCTTTAGATAAGAAAGGATGAGATCCAGAAAAGGTTAATTCACACATTTGGTCTTAGCAGAAGAGCCTGGACCAGTACCTGAGCCGGTGTTTCTTCTAGTGCATGGTGCTGGTTGTGGACGAGGCCCTCACTGAGTGTCTCCCAGCAGGACTGTGCTCACAGGAGGAGCACCCCAGTGTTCTGAGAGTGAAGGTTGAGTGTTTGGGTAGAAACTGGAAAGGCTTTCAGACTTTTGGTTAAAATGGAGCCTAGCCAGTGTCTTCAGTTGATTTTATACGTCTGTACCTTTGGTAGTTTCACTCTTTGGAAAGGAGAGCACTGGAGCGGACTTCCTTGTAAGTCAAAGCAGACTTAAGAACAGGGTTCTGGAGCCCACCTGTCTGGGGTGCATCCCAGCTCTGCCACTTGTCCGTTATTTTAGTTCAGCAAGTTACTTTCCTCTTGTGCCTCATGGTTTTCAACTATAAAAATGAGATTAATGCTCATTTTTAACTCAAAAGTTATTGTGAGAATTGAATGCCACTCAGTATAAAAAGTCCAAGAATAGTTCCTGGCACAGTTAGTGCTAGCAGTTAATCAAGAAAATGCAAAAATAAATTGAAGGGCTATTGTCTCTTAAATGTGTAAGTTCATAACACCCTGTGATGATGGTGTTGAGATGAAATTCCTCTAGTAGTCTACCTCCAGGGACCTGGAGATTTGGCAGTTTCACCCATCGGTTGGGGCAGGTAGTGTTAATTCAGGTTCTCAAGTCTGGCTGCTTGTGTTCAGGCCTCAGCTCATTCACTTACTGCCTGAATGATGGCAAACAGTTTACTTAGTCTGTGTATTCTTCTACTTCTCTGTTCTGCAAAATGGGGGGAATAATTGTATCTTCTTCATGTGGTTATAGTTAGGGCTTTAGTTAAATCATCCCTGTCCATACAATAGACGTTTAACAGTTAGCTGTTATTATTAGTAATCTGGAAGTATGGCGGTATAAAACAAAAGTAGTTTTTTAAACTACTAGTAAAACGCCCTTTTACTAGAGTTCTTCTAGGTCTTGACCTGTTCAAGACAGTCCCAGCCTTGGTATAACTTAGTAGCATCCTCACTCAGTCTCAAATGTGTCCAAATTTGGATGATATTATATGGAATCCCTGTTTTCTACCCAGAACCCCCATTCCTGCAAATAATTCAGTTGAAGAAATTTTCTATAAAGTCATTCCTGGGCTATGAATAATAGCAAGTGATTATATATAACCTAAAGGTCCCAACAATTGGGAAATCCTCAAATAGTAATGAGCCACCCTAGTTATGAAGATTGTATATGTTAAGACACGTAACTGTTTTATGCAGTGAGCAAAGAAGGTACCTGATGGCATGTGTTCAGTGTTTGTAAAATACAGAGAGGAAAGCAATAACAAAAATAAATTTCTGTGGAATATGTCTGCAGTCCACAAATGTTATGTGTATACTACATGCCAAGAAATAGAGGAAAATTAGCCAAAAATCCTTAAGTGTTAAATTTCTCTAAATCTCATAGTCTTTTCTTTTTTTTTTCAACGTTTTTTTTTTATTTATTTTTGGGACAGAGAGAGACAGAGCATGAACGGGGGAGGGGCAGAGAGAGAGGGAGACACAGAATCGGAAACAGGCTCCAGGCTCCGAGCCATCAGCCCAGAGCCTGACGCGGGGCTCGAACTCACGGACCGCGAGATCGTGACCTGGCTGAAGTCGGACGCTTAACCGACTGCGCCACCCAGGCGCCCCTCTCATAGTCTTTTCAAACACTAATCTGATCTCCTCTTGTTTATACTTCCCTTTAGTGTTTATCTAGCATGTCGTATTCTCCCACTGGATTATGTTAAGTCCTCAAAAAGAATGAGGAAAGAGGCTTGTAGTGAAGGAACATGGGTAGTCATTGATCATTGAACCTTTGAAGCCCGAGCTTGACAGAACTATTTTGTTGCCTTTGTTTCGAAGAGATAGTATATAGCAATTTCATTTTTTTTTTTTTTTTT